CTTCCCCTGCCTCCCACACCTTTCACCACCCACGTCACTCGGCGAGCATCGAATGGCGCTTTAAGGCTTCTCTCAGGACACCGACGAACATGGTTCTCGTCACTGGGGATGAAGTGCTGGACGGAGGGAAATCGTGTGCGAACTAGATAAAAGAAGACGTACTTTAAATGTTTTTCCTGCAACTGGCAACGAATTCCCCAGATAAAGTTTTCCTAAGAGGTAAAAGATAAGCTACGGAGCGATAAAATGCGCTGCGCTTCCATCCACTTATTGCTAGGAAAACTCCACCAAAGGCCACGAGTCGTTTTCGTCGATTTGTGACGATTTCATAAGGACGAAAGGCTCCATATCGATGGAAACGAATCGCTCCCCTGTTGCCAGAATAGTATAAATCGAATTCATGAGAGACGAGAAGCATGCTGGGAGTGAAGCAGACGGTGAAGGAATTGATTCCTTCACCGTCACCCCGCACTAGATGCCTCTGCTGTCACAAGAAAAGACATCGGGAATGACGTGAACTGACGCGAGCCTAAAAACAAAAAGAAAAAACAGAAAGAGCCTCACCTCAGACTGAATTTCAAGCGATATCTTCGATTTGGTAGAAGCAACAAACGAGGAGGAAAGCATGGTAAAAGGATTTGCTTCTCTACACGTTCATACACAGAGTGATGTAAAATACCTAGCAAACTAATGTTTAAAAAAAATGTATTTAATGTTTCAGATTCACCTATTCAGTTTTGAATGAGTGACTCTGAAGCAAAAATAAAAATGTGAGTTTGCTAGGTAAATGTTTCCCTACAAGTGAAAGTGACCCTGAGTCAGATGATCCCACTCATTCTCTTCACTTTAGACATGGAATGGAAAGATTATCGTGGAAAACCAAGGTTGCCAAATTTGCGTTCAAATCGTGCAGGTTGGTAACGAGGTCAATTATTGATGTGAATGATGTTGATTATATAGCTGATTATTAAAATGAAGAACAAAAAAGGACGCCACAGATCGCGTTTGACTTTCCCAAAGAGTCTCTCTGCTGAGTGAAAATTGTTGTCCTTCATCAGATAACACTGAAGTATTTCGTGAACCTTTGCTTTCTCCCACCGGGAGCCTGATGTATACATCTCTCTTCTACTGGTTGACTTTTCCCGCCCTGTATTTAAAATTTGTCGACTTCGACCGAGTACACAGTCGATCGAAGACAACAAATGCTTAACTATACTTAACCATGCTTGACCATGCTTAACTATGCTTGTGTTTCCCTTCGATGTCATTTATACCTTCCGACAATGCCGAAGCTCCTCACTTATCAGCAATCCATTCAAAACAATTTTCTGTTTTCGAACTGAAGCTTTTTGAGCATCTTCGCTCCAGCATATTAAGCTTCTAGAACCTCGTCGAATGGAGGCCATCACCACCCAACAAGTACACTGAGTGTCAGTTTCGTCCATCGAGGGAAAATGCGATCCAAGAAAAATCAGTCGTATTTAAGTTTGACGAGTCAGCACGCTCTGTCGGTCGCGAGGCCGATCCCCGAGTTTTCGTGTTCCCCGTCAGATGTCAGCGGACATCGCTTTGTGGAAATGAGCCGCTTTTGTGACTAGATGAATCCTTTCATCGAATTCCTTTCAACTTCCAAGCATTTTTTATTCGCATTTTTTCTCCTCGTCGGATCCGAGGTATCTCGAAATAACGTTCCGATTCGCTCCCCTTTCTTGCAATCATAAACATATCACCTCTTTTAATTTTTTTTTTAATTTGATGGATCGGATTCTGACTTACGACTGTGTCGACTCGGCCACGTTCGGAGCTTCGTCTGTCATAAAAGTCCAAGAGTCGAGGGGAAGCATGGCACGGCCGAGTCTCGGAGAAGGCCCTTGAGGCGGAGACTCGGAGGACTGGAATGTGCTCCGCCGGTGCGAGCTTCACTGGGCGTGAGGAAGGAGAGAATTCGCTTCGTGATCGGGCGAAAGGCGTCATAAATAAATCATAATATTTAATTTTTAATGATTTAATAAATCATAAGCTATTAAAGATAGAAAAGACCAAGTACTGCATCGTTTACACCAACGAATAGCGGTATGGCAAAAATTTAAGGAAGATATTTCGGAGGGGGTTTGAACCCCATGAACCCTAAATACGGCCTTGCTCTGGGTACTGACCTAAAGGAACTGAAGAAGATTTACCCTCCTTTGTTTGTAGAGCTCATTATCCATAGGTCATGCGATTCATTCATAATCTTGAATTAATCTCTACTTTGCTCTATGGAGGAACGCAATCACCAGAGGCTCATCGAGGAATGTTGCTGCAATGTGGAAATTATATTGAATGAGTGTTGCCATCAATATTGTTTCAATATTAACGAGGAAAATTAATTAGCAAGGAAGGATTAACAAGGAAGAAAATGACATCATCCCATCGAATTTGGCATTTCAATGTTGTTTCAATATTCAAAATGTGAACGTGAAACATTGTTTAATGTTGTTTCCACATGGATATGTTACCTGGATATCTGCTTCTCTTAACGTTCACTCTCTGAGACTACACACAAAACTTCTTTAGCAAGAAAATGTTTCTTCCTATTATGACACGCTTGAAATGTGCCAAAAGGTGTGTCTAATATTATAATATGAAAACAAAATGTCTCCAAATGACCATACGAGTACAAAATGTGTCACTTCGACACCTAAAGTTTTACGTGCAGCAGCTAATAATCTATTTCGAATGGAACGCAAATTGACCTCAGGTTTCAACTCGATGTCAACTAACACACAGTCAGCTAATCTGAAATAATGCAGTTCACACAGAGACCTTTTTGACACATAACGTACATGTCAGAAATTCGACACATCTTTTGGCACATCCCAAGTATATCATAATAGGGACAAAAAAGTTTTTATGTGGAGTGTTAACCTGACTCTGTCTTGGTCGTGTCACCAGGAGAGACATCCAGTGTGGTGCAGAGAACCAGCCAGTCCTACACACTAGACCAGAGGTTCTGAGGAAGTGTTTGGGTTCACGACCCCGATTCACGGGGGCCAAAAGCTCGCAACCCCCAATTTTCAGGTTCCTGAAGTGAAAGAGAAAGTCGAGTACAAACCATCTAAAGAAAAGTCATTATTGCATTCCCCTGATTTCACTGTGACCCCTTCGCGACCCCCCTGGGCCCCATTGGACACCTCCCTGGGGGTCGCGATCCATAGTTTGAGAACCCCTGCACTTGACGAATCTCACAATGCAGGATGACGACGGTTTCTTTCGCCTGAAGCTGTGTCTCGTTGACCGCTTGAGGGTGATGACCCAGCAAACAAGATTACGTTGGACCAACGTTGTACCAACGTTACGAACGTTGATTCAACGTTATGTGTTTCACATTGTTTGCTGGGGAGTGATGATGTCTAGATGTCTCTATGGGCCCCAGTATGAGATGAGTGGAATGTGTTCATGCATTGGATGCACTGGATGCGTATGACTTCATCGTGTAACGTTAAATGAACGACTTCAATTCTGTCTCTGTCTCGATCCAACAGCCAGGAGAGACATCTAGGGTGTTTGCTTTCACGCTCTTGCATTCTTTCGTCCTGCACATTGCTTACGGCTTGGAGAAAGGCAGACTCGAATCTCAGGTGGGATTTGGATTCGGCTCTGCGGCCAGCAATCCCACGCGACTCTTACCCTTTTTCATCGGAGGTTTTTGCAGCCTGTTTCGTCGGTGCACGTCACGACATGGAACGACCAGCGGCTGAATTCAAGTGCCCTAGTTCCTACTCCGGTACCTGCAGAAAAGTAAACGAATAAAAATAAAGAGAAAAGAAAAAGCCTAGAGGAGTATTTCAGTGTTTCACTTTTCCAGTCTTCTCTTTTTCGGGGTGTTAGAGCAATTTTCTTCTTCGCTTTCGCTTATAAACTACAGAAATTGGTGGTTCATGGCTGCTCGAGCAATTGTTGTGCAACCAAGGCCCTAAAGAAATCCTCTCCAGACTCCTAAATCCATAAATAACCAGACGATGTTGACACTGGACTAGCGCAAGATAGTTTCTAGTGACTCAGTCGTGCCACGAGTTATGAGTTACTCGTGTCATGACTGAGTCACTCATGAGTTAATGAGTTAAGTCTTGACCGCAAATCACCAGAATTAAATTTTCCGATTCGTGAGTATCGACTCAATTGAAAGTCCGTCATTGAATTCGTTGCTGACGTCTCCGAGGAAACAGAGCCACCTGGACACCGCAAATCGCGAAATGATTCAGAATTGTAAAAAAAATGAAAATCTGCGGAGTTGAGAAGGAATTACGAATTGCCCTTCGAATGTGTCCTCGAATGAGTCCTCGAATGAATCCTTCGTCCCTCAACTGATGCTGCGATCCCTGACGAGTTCAACGTTCTTCAGTGGCGTCGTGGAAGGAACAAATTGTCACCGTAGCGAATCGTGTCTCAATTAACGATGCATATTCCTCGTTCCCGATATTTTTTTTAAATAGAGCACCACTATTTATAATCGGAAATGAGACCTTTATTCTGAAAGCATTCATACACGAAGATGGAAGATGGTCACCGGGTGCCGCTCTAGACAGGGGTTACAAGGACAAACTCTGGGTAGACCCACTAAAAGCTTGTAGAAGAATAATGCGCGTTTGGGAACGCGGCGAGTTCCACAGGGCGTGTTTGGGAGCGCAGCGCGTTCCATAATGCGCGTTTGGGAGCGCGGCGAATTCCACAGTGTGCGTTTGAGAGCGCGGCGAGTTCCATGTGGAAGCTCTCTTTGAGAAAATGACGACGAGATCGTTTCAGGCATTTCCGCCTTTCACAATGAGCATGACATTATATATATAGCAGCGCGACAGCATTAGTGCTCTCTACTTTCGTACGAGACGTCTCTGTACACCAAACTACGACATCCGGGCGTCCACGTCACGCCCCGAGTCCACGCTCGGCAGACGCCCCACGCACGTGAGCAAGCGTTCGCATGCTCGTGAGCAAGTGTTCCCGGCCTCGGGGGGGAAGACTCACACCTGGATCTCGTGCGGGGCGCAGGGCCCTCGCGGGGTGGAGGCTGGTCGGAGCTTCAACGCTGCCTCCAGCCGGTGCAGCTTCGAGTCGCACCGCTTCTTGCACCGCTCGTAGAATCGTTTCTCCTTCTTCGTGAAGCGGTAGATGTTCCCTGCGAGAGGGGAGAAGCGGGAAAGGGAACTCAAACTCAAACCGACGGGTCGCCCTAATTTCGTAGTGTCACCGAGTTGCTCAATTCAAGCAAAATGTATTCCCTCTATTCGGGATGAATCGACCGCAACAGAAAGCACGAATGCATTACAATAATGGATCGCTGTGAACTTCTATGACTGAAAGATATCCAAACGTCCTGCGATTGAGAATGCATCTGGGAATATTAAGACGGTCTTCTTTCAAGACGTCCGCCTACTTTTTAATTTATTCAAATCTTCGTCATTCTAAGCGAAAATTTATTATACAGGGTGGTCATAAAGTACCAATCTATTTTATTGAAAAACTCAAAATTCTTGCAAAAATGCATAATGTGCGCTTCACATTGTCAATAAGGAACTAAATAAAACTAGTAATAGTAAATTAAAAATCAGCTATTAACATTTTTAAATCGACGTTTCACATGATCACCTTCCTAATCGACACATAACTGCAATCGATGCGTTGTTTCCCTGTACATTCAGGATGTTCAGTATGTCAGGGGTTACAGTGTTAACAGCAGCATAGATACGATCTCTTGAATCTTCAACATTGAGAACCTTTGTGCTGTAAACCTTTGACTTAATGTACCTCCATGCAACAGAGTCAAAGGGAGTTAGGTCAGGTTGTCCTGAAGCCAACATTCTGTTCGATCCTCGGCCAATTCAATGGTTCGTGAACTTCTCATTAGATAATCTCGCACAATGTTTGCGAAATGAAATTTGGGCTTCAAGATCAAAGTTATGTATCGATTTGGAAGGTGATCATGTGAAGCGTCGATTTAAAAAATGTTTAATAACTGATTTTTAATTTACTATTACCATTTTTTTCCTTATTGACAATGTGAAGGGCACATTATGCATTTTTGTAAGAATTTTGAGTTTTTCAAATAAAATAGATTGGGACTTTATGACCACCCTGTATATAAGATTGCTGAAATACAATTATATGCTACTGACAATATACAGGGTGTTCGTAATTAAACGGAACAAAGGAAATATTTTGCCGCCTGTATGTGGAGTTCGGCTAATGCTGCAAGTCCCACCGGGTTGCGTACTTGCATGGAAACACGCCAGTGATTGTGATTATCCTTACAGATATGCAACCCGGTGAGCTGTAAGGCACGAGTGGAACTCCACAATTAGGCGGCAAAATATTGATTTGAAATTGCTGAAAGTATTGAATATAAATGAAAGTCATGAATAATATTCATGAGTTAAAAATAATAAAAGTTTTTTTCTTCTTACTAAGAACTTGAAAGGTTTTCTAAAAGTTTTAATGAAATTTCACAAACTTCCTTTAAAAAAAAACCCTGGAAACTGACGTTTTGACGTGGCACCGAGCACGAAGACCTTGTTGAATCCCTGGAACTGGGCCTCGGTGAGATCCTTGGTGTTGAAGGACTCGATCCCTCGGTCCGAGAATCCCCAGATGTGTTCCTCGATGGATTTTCCTTCTATTCCGGGCTCTCCCGGTCGGAAGAAGAACTGGAGAGAAAGTCTGACGTCAGTTTTCCCTATTCTCAAGCTGTATCCGAAATTATGTAATTCAGATTCAATGTTTAATATTTAATTACGATTCTTTTTTATTTGTGGCAGCAATAGCAAGAAGATGCAAGTTGCACTTTTAAAAAATTTTCCCATGAAAAATTTTTTGCTTTGAAAAGATCTGGAAGAAAAGGCAAAACCTAGCAAACGGTCGTTTCCTTAATATTTGCATTAAGGGAAACCATAAAATACCATATTAAATGACATATTTTATCAGGCAACATTAACGTCACGCATGAACTCCAGCAGCCGCAAGCGAACGTCGCACGCACCTGCACGGTGACGCGTCCGTCCTCTCCGTGCGTGAGGGCCTTGTAGACGAGGAAGGGCGCCGCCCGGGGGATGCAGAAGCGGTCGGACGCCTGCAGCTCCTTCCCTCCCACCGCCGCCTCCTCTGCAATCAATCAGTCCATTATTAAGGGTCACACAAGTCTTCTTAGTCGGAAGTCATGGGGCAAGAGGCTCAAGTTTGCCGAAGCCATTTCAGCCAAACTCAGCGGAAACCAAAAGACTTCGCCCAAAGGGAGGGCTTTTGGTTTCCGCTGAGCGTTACATATAATAGGCGCAGGTAAATTATATATATAATATATATATAGCGAAAAGGAAATACCAATGGTGCCTGTCCCACCCAAACCAATCTCTGCCTGATCGGCTCAAAAGCCGGTTTGGGTGGGACAGGCAAATGCATAGCGTCAGATGGACAGAGACAGACAGAGATCCTTGCTTATAGAGATGGATATGTAATTCATATAAATATATAATAATGTATATGTAATTCGCAGGCAAATAATAATATGTAAATAAAGTTAATATTATAAATGATTCGTTAAGGACTGACCGTCCTTGGGGCATGCGGGGCAGCACATGCCAGGGAGGTAGACGAGAGGGCGTTCGCATCGGGTGGAGGGGCATTTCAGGCGACGGCAGGAGATAACGCCGTTCGCGCACGAACAGACAACGCACGCCATGATGCCGAACGGCCCCATCGAGGGATTCCACCGAGCGCCGTGTTTGTAGTGCCTGCAAGAGGGAGGGAATTGGGAATAGAGGGTTTTCGGCATGAGCATTTCAAGAGGCAAAAATACAAAAAAACTCGAAAAGTAATTAACCTCGTATTAGATGGAGCATTGAAGTGCGAGCGAGTTTAAAACTTATCAAATTGTTACCATGCCAGTCATGGCTTCAGCGACAACTTCAATCTAAAAGAAGGTGGGTGGAGGGGTGTGGGTGGAGGGGTGTGGGTGGAGAGAGTGTAGGTGGAGAGAGTGTAGGTGGAGAGAGTGTAGGTGGAGAGAGTGTAGGTGGAGAGAGTGTGGGTGGAGCTCCTCTGCGTAAGGGACAAAGGAAGGTCATCATCCATTCTGTTTCTTATTACTCTACTCTATGCTTATGAATAAAAGTAAATTATGTATCTGGAAGCTCTCTTCTTGTTCATTATTTAATTTTCAGTGAATATTAAAATTTTTGGAAGCAACACGTTCGTCGAGTCATTCGATGTCGTGAGTTGTGGGAGTATCTGATAAAGCTCCAAGCAGTGGATTTTCGACACGATGACGTTTATCGCCAATGATGCTCGCAGAAAAACGAAGCGAACGGCAATTAGGCCGGAATAATTGCAAGGACGAGAATCGCGGCGGAATTTCGACTTTTTGCAGGTACCTGTCGCTGTCGTAAGTGCAGTCCTTGCCGAATTCCCTGGACTTGGGCGTCGTCCTCGCGAACGTCACCAACGGGGCCTCATCCTCTGGAAACCTTTGATCTGGATAAAGCAAAAAAAGAGAGTGATTTGCCTTTGAATCGGTTGAAATATATATTTGGTGGGACATTTTTGACCCTTAAAAAATGGGATGAAGTGAGGTCAAAGAGAAGTGAGATTTGATGCAAAGGGTTCACGCGGCTTGAATCAGGTAAAAGGGAAATGAATTTAAATAGTTAGAGCAAAATACTGTCACTTTTTACACACTGTTTCTTTCTTAATATTTCAAACTGGAATATCCAGTGATTGTTTGAAGCAGTGTTGCAACATTTAATTATTTTTTCGCGCCTGGATAGACCGAAAATCATTTAAAGGACATGATTGACCTTGGGAACCCGAGCTCTCGCCACCGATTTCAGGTTATAATCAGGAAAACCTTGGACATGCACAAAACGATGCAAAACACTTCAAAGGGATTCAAAGCGCCCTAATCCTCGGATTACGTATTAGAGAGTTTACGCATCGCTTTCGAGATGAGCTGGAAACCACAAGACACGTGGAAGACACGTGGGACACATGTGCGGGACACGTGGAGCCGATGATCAGCTGATTCCCTCGCAACACATTCCTCGTCCGACTTCTGCCGAGTTTGTACTTCGGAGTCGAATCCAATGCACGTCGTGATTTTTTATGCAGAAATTCCGAAAAGAAAACTGAGAAACAAAGACGAAAACGGAATCCAAGGGCAATGAGAACGCAAATGCGGAATGGAAAACGAAATGCAAAAGCTTAGGTGGCAAAATTTTTACTAATTTCTGTCTTTTTCTTGAAGAGCAAGGAAAAGTTTCGCTGTCATTCGCTGATTTCACTTGCTTCAGCGGATTTATCCACCCTTCTCTATCAAATAAATCCGGATGGGATAATCCGAATCAGAAAAATCTGAAGAATCGAAATAAATCGAATAATCCTTTGCATAATTTGAATCCAGGAGCAAGCAATTATTTTCAAATAAAAGAAACGATAAATATTCTTCAAAAGAAGAAATACTCAAAAGCTCCGGGCAAAAACATTTAAATGCATGAAACGAAAGCGAGACAAATTTAATCTCATTTTCCATTTGTTTCCTGCCGGATTCATGAAGAATTCTCAAGACTTCTTGCGAAGAACGTGACGAAACTCACGATGGACTCCTTGCTCCAGATTTCATCTTCTAAAACTTCACTACAAAAAAAAAGTTCGCACAAAGGATAAAGACGAAGCTGAACGGGGATTCCCTGCACTCACCGGATTTCATTCACAAAAAAATTCATTGACAAAAAAAAATGCATTGAATGGCTCGCGAACCTTTGACCTTCCCCATTCATTCTCCATTCTTTCCCCGTTCATTCCGTCATCCATCATCAACTGGATGTTGACTCGAGACCAGATCGGGTTCCAGGGCCATTTGGGTCGGTCGTGACGTCATGCTAGTGACGTCACGCACCTTTTTTTTTCTCTCTTGGCTTTCGTCTGCTTCCATTACGGTCGGCGTTGGTTTAAAATGCTCGTCGCGAAGGCGAAGCGAGAGAGTCGGCGCGAAAGTAATTGGAAAAAATTCAATTACGGTAGGGAAACCGACATTCTTGGGAAACCGACATTCCTGGGATGCTGACATTCCTGGTATGCAGAGTGAGTTATAGTATCTCATACAATTTTCAAGTCCAAATAATTAAAATCATGCGCAACTCAACCTATCATCGGTCAAGCAACGTGTATAAATGTGTATAAAATGTATTTATATATTTATATTCAAGAATTGCCAGAACCCGGGAAGCTTCTTTCGAAGACTCCAGTCAAATGAATACAAGAGGGGCTTCGTTATCGTAAGAATTGGGCTGTCGCTGACAGGAAGCACGCTGGCCGACCGCGTTCCGTACGTGGGTCGAAGCCGGTTAGGAATTTGAAGATAGGCATGAGAATGGAGCGATGGAGGCCGAATTTCACTATTTTATTACAGGTATTTTCAAAGTTTCCTATTCTCGCGAGAAGTTTAAGATGCAAAAATTCATTTTCTTGAAGCATTGGGCCTCTGCGTCCCGAAATTGGCATTCACGAAACAGAAGTACCTGTATTTTCTTGTATTTCCCGCATGGAGCCCTCTCCCCTCTTCCGTCGCGGGAGAGGGCTCTACGTTGTCGCGAATCCGTGTAGATGCGAAGGGCGTCATGCGATGGGTGCGACGGAAGTTCTTCGGGTTCTTTTCATCGACTTTTGTCCTCTACCGATTTTTTAAAATAAAATTTCAGCGGAAGAGGTGGCAGCCAGGCTCAAAAGTATGCAGAATTCGGCGATCATTCGGCATTGCCGTTTCTTACAATGCCCCTGTCGACGTTCGGCTGTCTCGCTCTCTTCACCGAAGTTTTAACTTATTTCCGCTTCACTCTAGGAATTTACTTGCTTGGTTTTTTAAACCAAAAAAAAAAATAGATTTTACAGTGATTCTGCTTCTTTACGTCAAGAATTGACGTCATGAAGTGCGGCAACGAAAAAAGTTGTATCGTCGCATTTGAGAGATGAAATGCCTGCCCACACAAATTAAAGTGCTTTTCCTGGAACTTCACATAAGAAGGATGAGAACAGGGCCACCTCGAGAGTGCCTCGAGGACACCTCGAGGGTCTCTTCATTCGAGATTGAAAATCCCACTTTTCATCAGCGGGTCTCGGCGGATTCTCGGATCTCAAACAATCTCCCACAAATAAAAAATAAATAAACAAAAATAATGAAAATGAAAATAACAATGACATTTTTAATGAAAATAATAACTTAGATTTAAAAAGTAAAAAACCCACAATTTTTTTGCAACTGAAATTCGATATTTTTTCCCTTCAAGATATTTCAAGTCTAATCAAAGCATTTTTTTTAGCTAAGTCTTCTTTCCATTACATGTAATCGGGGAAAAATATAAATGAAAGCATCACACCTAAAATGCGCATTGAAAAGAGTGCCCTTTTCTGGGCCACCTGGTATATATTTATGCTAACCATTCCTCTCCGAATAAACACGAGTTTTTGAAAGCGTCTTAAGCATACCTGGACAGGCGGGGCAGCAGTCGCCTGGTTCCCGCGAGAGGCTCTTGCAGTTCCCCTGTCCCAGACACTTCTTCAGCTTGCACATCACGAGCCCCCACTGCAGATGGGCAACAATCACATTTTACCTAAAATACTATACTCCGTTTATTTGTCTTGCTCATTCACCTTTATACTTTTATATATTTTACTTGATTTATTTATTTATTTATATTCATTCATTCATATTTTATTTTATTTATTTATTCATTCATCTGTATTTCATTTCAATTATTATTTATTAATAATTATTTTACTTTATTTATTTTATGTATTCATCTTGTGCATATTTAATGTGACGCTCATCAACCTATCTATCGCCAAAAATCGCCCGAGAATTTCACGACAAACCGGTCGGAAAAAAAGCAAAAAATCCGAGTACTGACGGATCCGGTACTCGAATCAATACCGACCTCGCAGGTGCAGGAGACGCACTCCCCCCTGCCAGAGGGCGTGAGCCCCGTTGTGTTGGACGTGAAGTACTCCCCAGACCGGTACGTTCTCCCGTTGTGCTTGCACGAGGGGCCCTCCTCGCCGCCAGACGTCAGCCCTGCAACGGGGAAAGGCAATTCTGCGACTTAAAACTCCAAATTCACTCTATTCCTTCGGTTTTTACCCTCATGTGAATTTATATATATTTTACCGATTCATTCTTTTTAGTTCCCCGTTCATTCGTTTTTTCATTTTTCCGTGATTATTTATCATTTATGTTTATGTTTATGTTCATACAATCTTGTTCGCTGTTTATTTTTATCTAATTATCTAATTTTCATTATCACTTGTGATTCATTATTTCATTTCTCCTCAGTGAAAGCTATTAAAGAATGAGAGCCAAAGTCCTAATCGAAACATCTCGAAGTCCATGCCTCACGACTGAAATCGCGTTGGAAGGGCATAAGTCATAAGGAACTGGGAAAGGATAAGCGGGGGAAGCCCTTTAAAAATCCCTTTAAGTCCTGAAAGTCCTAGAAGTGCCTTTAAAAAGTCTCCATCCGCATGCAACACACATATTTTTCCAATATGTTTAATTTACCGTCAGAGAAGTAAGAGAGAGGGAGAGAGGTCTATAAGCGGTTTACCAAAAAGGGAGGAAGGCCTTCCTTATTTGTGCCATCCCGCCACATGTGGCCGCCGGTCATTAAGACGGTTCTGCACGCGCTTAACAATTTTCGCGCCGAGCTCATCGAGATGGAACGAGTTTGTCTCCGGAATTAGTCCGAAGTCGCGGGAAGGGGATGGAAAAGTGGGTCAAAGACTTGCTAATCCGATTCCCTTCTCCTTCGGTCCACGTGGCGAGATGGAATGAAAACTTTCGGAGGCGAGAAAGGCAAACTAGCTGAATCTAAGCTGCTTCGTGGCCCATCGATCGAGTCACTCTGCACTTCGTCTCTGAGAGAACCACAGCGAATTTACGGAGCTAAAATTTACAGCGAATTTTGCAAATTTTGTAAAACAGGGCAAGATGAGAAAATTCCGGGGAAATTACAATATCGGTGATACCCACCTCATTTTGCATATCTCGATCCTTTCGGCTGCATCAATTCCCTCATGCTACAATTCCAACATATTTTCTTTTCTTTATTATTATTATTATTTTTTTTTTGGGGGGAGGGGGGGAAGAAGGACCATCTAAAAAGCAAAAAGAAACCAGAAGGAGCTGACACGCCCTTTCATCGCCTTCTGTCTCCTGTCCCATGGGAAAACATGCCAGTCGATGAATGACCATTGCAACACGTTTTTCTCGCATTTTTTCCATCCTAAACCACGCCATTGCTTTGCTTCTAAATCCTGTGATTCTTGCACCAATTCAGAAGGGAAGAAACGGGGAATTTTCTGAATTTCGTTTTAATGCATCAAATTCCGGGTTTGGGGGGCTGGAAGCCATTTAGCTGCCGTATTGTAGTTCTCTCAGAGACTGGGTGTTGAAAAAAAAAAGAGAGAAAATTTGAAGAGGATGCACATTGGAAGGAAGCCAGCAAAATCATGATAAAATGCATTCATTTTGCTTCCAAACTTTGATTTTTTTCAAATTCCTCTGATATCATCATAGAAGTGGACACGACCATGAAATGCTTAAAAGGGCCAACTCCGTTGCTTTGTACGAACCCATTTTTCGGTTTCCCTCGCAGGAAAGTCTCAATGGGCTTCCGAATCCGCAAAATGAAAATCGCATCTATGCAAAATGTAAAGCTGCACACTGGCGCCCTGAACTGCAAAAAAAGGGCAGCAACAAGAGGTGGCATAAATCAAGCGCACAAGCTCAAAGCACAAGCTCAATGAAATCCGTTTCCGTTTCAATTACATCTGCTTCAGGGGCGTGGAACGAATATTAAGAGAGAAAACCTCTAACTTATCGATTTAAGGATGTGGGGGAGTCTCTCTAATCGCCGGAAGCGAGGAACCATAAGGTGTTCCTTAACAAAGCGTGGAACTGGAAATTTTCATGGGAAATTCCAGGAAAGGTTCGAGGTCGTACAAATGCGATGGAAAGAGAACTTGTGAGGGATTGAGTCTCTGAAATCCTCTCCTTTTCCCCTCCTGAGAGCGAAGCCATGTAGAAGGAAATTCCATCGAATGTTCCAGCCTCGCAGGTAAATCGCGGTGCTTGGCCCGCATCAGTTTGATATGATGGGACGCATCGAACACGATGCATCGAACCGATGCATCGTGCATACTTCTCGGCGTTCCTTTTTTTTGCCAATAATTCCATGTCGCGCCCTTTTTTTAAATATTATTTTTCCTGCTGGCGCAAAACAATAACGACTTTCAAGTCAATGTCACAGGTGAGGACGACACGTCATCCCCGAACGACCCGTCACCACCGAACGACACGCAATAACGGGAAACAGGTGTGGTCCCTCCTCTCATCGTCAGCTTTGTTTTGTCTCCCCTTCTGACTGATTCGCGTCTCCCTCCCGCACTTTCCTTGCCAGATTTTCCTGCCGAAATAAATACTTTCCCCCCCTTGGGTCGTCGGCCCCCGTCTCCCCGCAAATTAAGGCACTTTCGTCGCGCAGCACGGTCTGCTGGAATGTCCGACGAGCCGGAGATGCGGTGAAAATTACGACGTCAGCGAGGACAAATAATTTTCTCTGGCGAAAATAAAGAAGTCATGAAATGGATTGCGATCGACGTGACCCTGTTTCGGCAATATTGCGCATCAGCGCAATATTGCCGTAATTTCCCTACTGCCGATGTTTGTCTAACTTAAATTCGAGTTCGAAGATGCTCTATGCTAGCGAAAGAATCCCACCGAAAGAAAGCACAAGAAGTAATAAGAGAAGCTGTGCTGACTCCAGTCCACGAGCCTCCCTTGACTGCACCTTCATAGACGGTATATGCGAATTGAATGGAGGAAGAAAGAAGAATGCGAGCGTCTGCGGATCCTCCAAGTGCGGATCCTCCGTGGTCGCCGCGAATCGAGGACATCCAGCCTCTCCGCACCTATCGCCGATTTCAAATCTATACCGTTATTAATTTTCTCTCGCAATAAATTTTTCGAAAACCAGGAGGATGTCAGGCGTGTCGCTTTTGCGAATTGCGGTGGTAATTTGGAGAAGTTTGGAGCCATGCCATTGCCACAACCGTGGACGCAAGTTTTGCGCCGTAAAGCAGAGAGTCATCGGGCTATTTTACAGAGTCGGTCTTTTGCAATCTGCAGTCCATCGTGGCTGCAAAATCGTTAAATAAATTCCCTTCCGAAGATTTGCGTGGGCGTGCAAATGAGGAGGAGGAAGAACACGGCGTGAGAAATCTGTCACCACGAGATTCTCTCTTCTCCCTCGCCGAATTTAGATCCTGGCCCTGAGTCAATTTCGGCAGAGTGAGACGAATGCAAAAAAAGGCTTGGAAAAAAATGAAGCTCGCAGCCAGCGCCGATTTGTCTAGCGCGTCTCTTGGGTTCTCCCACCTCAAGGTTAACACGGGTCTCCCGCAATCATCCCGCGAGGTCAATGACCTTTCCACGTACCTCCGAGGAAAAAATCCATGCACGAGTTTGCATGGAGAAAGGAGGCAAGGAAACTGCAGAATTTCCTTTTCCATGCAAACTTTTGCAAAACCCCCTTTTTTTATTGTTCATCTGAATATCCTTTCTGTTTTTGCCGGAATGCGCCAATATTTAGCGTTGTCTTCGATTCTTGCGTGAGGGAACGGATCTCAATTGCCTGTGAATAAATCCTTGCAGAACGTTCAGCCAATTTCGATTGTCAGTTTATTTAAGCTAAATTCAAATTGGGAATTTTGTCACCGTGATTTTCGCCTGATTTATTGGCACGAGTCCCTCTCTCTCTCTCTCTCTCTTCGGTGTATTGATATTTTGCAGCAGATATTTGGCAACTGCATGTGCAGAAAAACTGCACCTAAACGCGGTAAATTAGTTTTCTAATTTCATCAGCATCTAATTTCATTTGCCCTGAAAGACATTCTCAATCGCTGCAGACTCGCTTTAAAAAATTTGCAAAATAAATTTTTCCGCAATTTTTTTTTTGCACGCACCTTGTGCTAGGGGCTGAGGATGACAGTGCTTGCAGCACTCTTCTTTGGCAAAGCCAGGCCTGCACAGCTCCTCGCAGGACTCGCTCGTGCAATTTATCTGCATTCCCTAAGATGAGGAAAACGATGAAATTTTTTTGCACGTTTTTATTTTTGCACGTTTCTACGCCAAGAGGAAAGGAATCGTCCGTTACGGGAAGGCAGGTGCAGGAGACGCAGAAGGCCCGTTGGCCTTCGAGGGCCGGATGCCACACTTCCCCGATCCCGTATCGCCTGCCCGAAAAACTGCAGTCTCTATGCGTCGAATCTGCACGCAAATCGATCATCGGTTTGCGAATCGAGAAGGACCGGATTTTAGCATTTTCGCGAGTGTCGGCTGGGTTCACATATTGCAGTTTTGAATTTTCAAAATGCATCAAAAATACAAATAAATGCATAAAAAGTGGATTCCCGTTCAAAAGGGATTCCCGTTCCTTTATCCCTCTTTCTTCCCGTTAATCCGGACTTAGCCGGATGAATGGACAGGAAAACCATGCTTGTTCCCGGTCATTCTTCCTTCATTAACTCCAGGAATGAAAGAGATAATACTTAGGGTGTAATACACGAAATGAAATTAATTTAAATAAATTCATAACGGGTTCTGAATGAGTCCTGTTGAGTTTATCAATAAAGAAACCCGTGCTTAAAATAATACTTTAAATTTAAATTCCTTTTTTATATTTTCGCTCTTGAATTGCCTGGATCCCTTTCCTGAAGTTCATCTCCCCCTCTTCCTGGAATCAAGTGATGGGGATTGCTCTAAGGTGATGGGAATAGCTCTCGTCACCGAGACTCTGAAGTGATGCCCTTATTTATTGCTGTGTTGTCTTTCGATGATGTCGATCGTTAAAGCTAAGACAAGTATCCCACCTAAATTGACCCTTTAATGCATGTTGTAGCAGATATGCTGCATTGCAAATGAAAATTTTTCGAATGCGTAGGTGGGGAGTTCTGGTGGTAAGTCAGTTCGTAGCAGATGTGCGACAGTCCAGTCCTAGTATCTTGTACCCCAGCGGTCGCTAGGTGCCCTACACTCCTGGTAGCAAGCAAGTGAAAAACACTTGGCTTTGTCGAGTGACAGTCTGACGTTGTTGGTGCAATTATTTTCAACTCTATTAATCTAGGGTCCAGGTTCATCTGTATTTTTACATTTAATTTTCCCTTGAGGTATGTACCGGATGTTGCACATAGATAGCTCCTCCTTCCACAGCCTAAACTATCGGAGCAATGAAAAAAACTCACATATGAGAAAGAGCATTCACTTTCGAATTTAAACAGTACTTCTCATAATTTGTATGCACCCTGCCTCTGTCTCTTAAAGCTTTAATACGAGCGGGGTAAGATGAAAAGAGGCGCTTAAAGAGTTCGGTGTCATCTTCCACGTCCTTCAACCCCCTGGTGATGTCGCTTTGCAAGGCTTCCCGGGAGAATCCATTCTGCTTGCCCTCCATGTGCATGAACCTCAACTCCGTCTTCAGGATAACCCCAATGTTCTCAGCCGCATTCAGATCAGGAGAGTTTCCTGTCCATTCCGCATTTCCCAAAAAAAAAATCAGTCCCTAAGTCTTACAGCAATTGCAGTGTGATCAAAGCTTTGAAAAATAGGGCTTCATCAGACGGAAGCTAAACGTTTAATATTTTTCGGAACCCATGAACGGGTAACGAATTCAGCTCTGGCAGCATGAGCTCGAAACGTAATTGCACGGATGCGATCAATGAATTTAAGTTCTTCACCATCATATGACATCAGAAGAAAACAAAATGGAATGGAATTGATTCAAAATTGAACAAGGATTCCAAATATGTCAAAAATGTTTTCCTAGCTCCTATAGCTTAGGCTGTGGGGGGGGGGGGCTATCTATGTGCGACACCCGGTACGAATGTTGATCGACCGACAGAGTTCTCTAGCCTCCCTGCAGCGTGGGTTAGAACTCTCAGAATTTTTTCTGTGGCAAGTGTGCTACAATAAAATTTTCGGGCTAGCTACTTATAAATTTGAGGGATTAATTTTTTTGTCTACTTTTCCCTTGTTCTAGGACCTAAGTAAAACCTACAAAAAAATTTTTAGCGAAAAAGAAAAATTCATGCATTAAATGATTAAATTTAAAATTCTTGAAAAGAGAAAAATGTCGAAATCAACAGCAAGAAATTAAAAGTTTGAATTTCTTCGACGTGACTGGTTGAAAGAATTGAGTCTGAGTCCCATTCTCATGGAAAATAAAGCCGAATAAGTTGAAGCAATTTCGTTAATTCGGATAGAATTTCCTGTAGGATTAACGAGTGTTCAATGTACACATTACTCTCATCAGTTCTGCAAAGGACGTGTCGACAAGGTCTCATCAGTTTCTTCTTTTTTTATTACTCTCCAGAGTTTCAAAAATTTTGGAAATCGAAGCGGGGCAGCGATGGAAAAAAAATTGCAAGTTGAGTCGCTACATTCTTCCGTCGGATTAAAAAAAAAAGGCTGAGAACTGAAACAAGCATCGGAACGGACTGGACCAGCTATTGGCGAGGACTGGACCAACTATCGGCCAGGTCCATCACCATTCTCCCATGAAGAACTCCCGTTTCTTTGAGGCGGAGATTTTTTTATTTTCCCCTTTCCCAGCAGGAAAGGCTGCCTGAACGAGGAAGGGGGAATTAGAAGCCATTTACGGCCCCGCGAGGAAGATAAGCGCCGCATATATATCACGTTATCGCGGCTGCATATCTCGGCGGGCGTTTCCGACTTTCCACCCATGTGTGGGAGTCCTCGTGTCCCTTTTCTACCCCATTCCTTCTCCGATAAGCCTTCTGTTCATGCTCCGAGTTCTTTCGGGGAAATTTAGAACCTTTCCCCCCTTCCTCCCTCTCGTATCGGGGCGCTGACCTTACATCTTCTTCCGCTCCTGCACTTTAAATTGCAAAGCTTTCCAGTCGAGTACGCAAAGGAATATTTATCGCCTTTTCGATGGAGGGGGATTCCATTATCTCGAAAGGAAGCTTATAGATTTTAGTGCCGGTATTGGGAGCATCTGGCTGCCGATAAGCAACACCATGTGGGTGAAAAGCGCGATGTCGAACGAGATCGCATGACGCGAGAAGCTGTGAGCACCCTTCGCCCCGACACCAAATCCTCGACGGAAACGAGTCGAGAGAACTGGACTCGCGGCGCATAATAACGTGAATAGGAAAACGAGAGGGAGAAAAAGGAAAGGGAGGAAGGGAAAACGGAGGAAGAGAAGAGGGAGGAAGAGGAAAGGGAGGAAGAGGAGAGGAAGGAAATGAAGAATGAAAAGAAGGATGGAGGTTGAGATGAAAATTGTGGGGAAGGCAGAGGGGTGAAGACTTTGAGTGATGAAGTTGCTCTGACCCGTGGAACTCCCCTGGCCATTCGCGTGCCTTTCATATCCGATTCCCTTCGCTTGAGTCTTCGGACTCCTTCGAGTGCCGACTGGGAAGGGAGAGTTTCAAGGAGACAAAGAAGGAGGAAAATCAGAGATGCAGACCGTCGTCTTTTCTGGCTTCCTGTTCATCGCTTCTTGAAAATGAAAAATTTTGGAAATATTCCAGACACAGTCGAACTCGGTTATAACGTCTTCGAAGGGACCAGGTAAAAACCGTCGTTACAACTGCGGTTCGTTATAACCGAGATTGCCTTTATTAGCATTCCGTTTTCCTGTTTTCAAAATTAATGCTATATAACGTTACAACTCCACTTTACATTGATCATACTGCACTAGCTTCAGTTTCAAGATTGACCCACTAATCGTGATGTTCGCACTTCTTTGGACCTTGAACTGCTTTATACTTTAGCAAGGTTTCGTCGATGTCATCTCGACAGATCTGTGACATTCTCGTAAGCACGGATGAAGCTGTCACGATTTTCCCATATTGTGGAAACAGATGAACAGATGTCCATGTTCGCGAGCGACGTTAGCTTTACTTCGAGCTCTTTCTATTAAACTAATCAAGCACACCTTCCTTTCAATCGTGAAGGCTTGCCTCTTTCGTTTTCAATTGGCCATGTTGGAGAAATGCAAATGACGACTGAAGATAAGGTGATCTTAGTTACTGGGGATTATCCCTCCCTAACATTGCTCCAGCCACACCCACATGATTCTCAAGGAATACCGAATCCAGGAAATATAAAGCTATGGCTCGCCAACGCTAATTTTTCTGATGACGGAAATTTCAGTTAAGAATGACGGATTAGGGACATGAACGTTGTCGATTTCGTCTGTGGAACCTTCAATGGACTTCGTTATAACCGAGTTCGCTATAACCGAGGTAAAATGTAACGTGCCTTATGGGCTCTACGCCGGGACCTGGCGCTTTCGTCGTTATAACAAGGTTTCGTTATAACAGAATTAGACTGTATTTATAGACCAAACTGCAGAATGAAAAAAATTAACGAATGGGTATTCGTTAATTTTTTGTCGAGATCCTAGCTTCGAGGTAAGCTTGAAATGGTTTTCTTCCTCATCGCCAGAAATGACAGCGAGTGCCCTGATCTTCGACGGGCCGACCGATTCCCTTTTCGCCTCAGTGCTGCCATCTGCCCACAGTCGCTAAAGCCAACGAGTCGTAACTCACTTCGCTCGAGACAGGAACGACGTGAGAAGTATGCAAAGAATCCCGAACATCTTAATGTCCGGAGAAACTCGGTGAAGAGTCTTAAGTCTATGGATTTTTCGTCCCTGAATTCGCACGATGGACTGGTGGCACTTGCGATACGACTGCCCCAGAAATTGGTTAGAGGACGACTTACATCAATAAGTTGCCGATGACATGGCTGCATCACATCATTTTTTCTAACGTTTCTCGACCGTCCTGCTCATTCTTGACGTGGCTCAGCGGCTCAGCGGTTCGGCTGAAAGAGTTCGCCAAGGCAGCTGCTAGGCCGACCGTTTCAGAACGTAATTTAGCGTGGGGTTAATGGGCGGTGAACCGAGGTTGGCGTCTCCATTAAAGTAGGCCGACCGGGCTCATCGCTATTATTATGCACAATGCCATGAACGAAGTCGAGCGTCATGAGAGGTTGGCACGTGCGACCCGTGCTCTGATTCAGCTCTGCGATGGAATTTTTCTCGAAAGGAAATGTGAAAACAACCGAGCAAAAAAGCTAGTCTCAGCCTTTTCTTTTTCATCTTGCCCTTCGGCTTTTGTTTAAACATTCGCATCCGCGATCGAACACCAAGAGACCAAGATCGAACCCCAAGAATATCGATTTTCCCGTCGGAAAACCTTGATGAGAAAATTCGCGAAAAATGTTTCAAATTGTCCCAACAGCGGACTGAAATATCAAGAGGAAATCCAGGAAATAAAAGAACTTCACCCCCAAACCCATCTTCGGCTTAAAATCCCATTTCGGATCTTAAGCCGGGCGTTAAAAACGATCAGGCAATCAGGAACATTATTCTATCGAATGTACAAAAAAGAGATTCAAACACGGTGCGTGGGGAGTGGTGTGGGGAGAGGACATGCTATGGGGCGAGGACATGCTGTAAGGCAGTGGTGCCCAACCTTTTCGGCTAGGGGGCCACATATCTCACTAACACAACCATCGTGGGCCACATTAAGTCACTAGTATTGTATGACAACATTTTAGGGAAATCTGAGTGTATTGTGGGTTAGGGCCACTTGCAAACACCTAGAGGGCCACTTTTCGCCCGCGGGCCACTGGTTGGGCACCACTGCTGTAGGGAGAAGATTTAAAATAATGGAGATTTGTAAACCGACAGTAAATCGTTTTTTAACTGTTTGCAGTTCATTTTCCGGTCATACCTCCTTGTTTCTTTCTGTAGCAAGCAGGTACAAACGTTGCTCATTTGGAAATTCGGCTTTCAAGACGACTTTCACGGTCCTTATTGCGGATTCGAGAATTCATCCCGGTTTTCGGGATGAAATTCGGGGTGAAATCAATTTTCGGCTCAACCAATAGGAATAGGCATTCGGGGCTTCAAAAATCCGGTCGCAGCGTCACGGACGAGTCGAACCAAAAGCAATCGGACGCATGAGAACAGAGACAAAAATTAAAAGTTCGTTAATTCAGCCTCGCATTCCAGGTCGCCGAACCCATTTGAAGTCTCGTGTCGGAATAGCCCCTTCCATACGTGTCATCTCTTCATCTGGGGAATGCATAGTGCATTTCGCGTGCCGGAAATCTAAATCGGAATCTTCCTATGGAAACCGGTGATGGACGGGCGCAGTTTGGATCCGTCAATGGGACAGGTTAGGACTGTCCATCATTGCCTCTTGCCATTCTTTTATGCGCTCTATGGTCTCTCGCTGCCTCTCCAGCCATCCTTTTATGGGCTCTATGGTCTCTCCCCGCCTCTCCAGCCATCCTTTTATGCGCTCTATGGTCCCTCCCTGCCTATCCAGCCATCCTTTTATGCGCTCCCTAAGAAAACGCGTCCTGCTTGAGGCTTCCTAAGACCCACTAAAGGATTGCTAGATTTGTCTGTTTTTATCACGCAGAAAAAAACTATATAATTTTATTCATGAAAGTTTTTGAGTTTGTGTCGTTCGTGTAAAGAG